TTTTYYYTTTTTTYCCCCRCTTTTTTCGACATTCAAAAGAAAATCKCTCAAAATTTRCATTAAAATTGGATGGAAACACGGCTTATGTTGCGTTCAGTTAYGAAAATGCTGTATGTATCAACAATAAATACGACTTTGCATCGTAGTYTRTCTAAGCACCTTGAAATTGGCCTCTGTCCCTTTAAGGACTGTTTCAGACACTCCCACTTCAGCACGTTTTACAACAATCCTTTGGGGGAGGGGTGCTCTGCGGGGCGGGAGCTCAGCTGCAGACTGAGCTCCACGGAGGGGCTTTGTGTAAATAGGCGGGGCTGTGTACAAGTAGGCGGAGCTTTGTACCAGCAAACATTGAGTTAGCTCCACGTGGCTACCACAGGAGATCTTAAAACATGCACGAATGAGTCAAAGCAACACTGAGTATGTTTTTGATGAGGGGATGACGTTATAACATGATATAAAGCTCAAAAGAGTTAATTTTGAATACCCCCCCTTTAAAAATCTGAACTTTGAKTCTTGTCACCTTCTAACTTAAAAAGGCAAAACTTTTTGTACTGAACTTGTTTTGCTCAGACACCCAACAACACCTTCAGAAGTCAAACTCCATAAGTGAACTGAATATTAGACAAATGTTTTGTTCATTATAGAAATTAGGAAACGGTCAGTCCAGACAGCCCGGTGGCTCCAGGAGAGTAAAAGAAAAACAGGGGTCTCCTCCCCTCGTCCCCGCTCCTGTCATTAGCCACCTCAGCACACAAACAAGCGCACCTCGACAGGCTTCAGCGCCGACTGCGATTAAAACAAATGAGCTCTGAAGCGGACAGCAACCGCTTGTTTCAACCACGACTCGTCCATTTACAGAGAGAAATAACACGGCGCGGGAACAAAAGCTTCTAAGTGACTCGCAGTCATCACAGGCAGCGACCAGCTGAAACCGAACAATGTCACCATTCTTTAACTTCATCACAGACACCGCTTTATTTAGACGATGCACAGAAACGGGGGGGTGGGGGTGGGGGGGCTCAGAGCTGGTCCGAGCGGTCAGCACGCTCCGACAGCTCAGCAATAACACGTTAGTTAAAGATCATCCRCTACAGCGAGCAGATTTTTCTCATCTCCTGCTGCACAGGACACAAAGTCGACATGTTTTTGTTCAAATCTGTCTTTCCCAGATTCTGCAGAGCTGATCGACAGAACAAACTGCGGTGCAGAGTTGACACAGGACTTCTGATGCTTTTATAAATGCATCAGTGATGTTCAGTATTTCCAATGTACTTCCTGAYACTGATACTGAGTAAAAGCTGGAATTGGCAATACTGATTCAATACTGATATTGGTGCAAACACACTTAATACTGTATGTCTCGTAAGTCTAAAAAAGTATTGTTTTTAAAATCACCACTTCATAAAGAATACAAGACATAGTCATTTTAAAAAAACATTTATGATTGTATATCAGACAGGTCATTCAAATGATACATTGATAATGCATTTGATTGTTACATTTTGACAAAATGCWATTTTTGTAAACATTAAACTGTTAATCTGTTTATTTCCCCATATCCCAAATTTATACTTAATCCTTGTTCYGATATGAWAGRTCACATTTTGTAGCATTGTTTGTGGGTWTGAAGGAGCGTCMCAGGCCAGAAGCTAATGCTGTTTGGGGGGGGCCATAACATGGAAAAATGTGGGAACCCCTCATCTAGAATGTAAATACAGACTGTCAGACGAAGCTGATTTCATGTTAAAATGGCCTGCCATACTTGTAACGTCTACAGCAGGGGTGCCCAAACATTTTCCCTGAAAGGGCCAAATTTAAAAWCAATCWGAGGGTGGTGGACTAAATGCAATAATATAATACACGAACTGTAAATACTTCAATTAAAGTTGTAATTTTTATGATTAAGCTAGCAGCCAGTGCAGTTGCCCACATTTTCTTTGTTTGTTTGTTTGTTTGTTTGTTTGTTTGTTTGGTTGGTTGGTTGGTTGGTTGGTTGGTTGGTTGGTTGGTTGGT